ATTACTATAGACACATATCACTGAATGCTTCTGTCCCTAGATGGACTAACTCTCAAATGCAGAAAATGATTGTTTTTGACCAACAGGCAGCCACAATGGCTGCATGTCCAGAAAGCCTACATACCAACAATGACAAATTCTACAAAAAACATGGTCAAACGAGACCTTACGTTTATTCTCCTCTGATCCATAATAATACACCAAATCTAATGGAACTCTACAAGTGGCAGCATTCTATTCTGCATTAATAAATAATCTATGTCAAAGTGAGTTAAATATTGATGCGGTACAAAACTCTGTGATGTCATTATTTTTGGTCTTCAGCATATGATCCAGAAAGAACCGACTGTGTAATCCCACTACCACCATTATCCCCACCCACCACCCACCCATCACTATTTATGGTGGGTCTTGTATGTCTTGTATACATACATACCTGCATGTCACTACCTGTAACAGGTTTCTGCAGTGCACAATACTGACCAATATAATCACCATCTATGCGTCTGTCTTAGATGTGAATAAAGAAATATTAAAAATAAAATATAACCAGGTTCCACCTATTAGACATATGAATCAAAATGAAAGCGTTACAAATTACAGACTGACTCAAATTTTAGGTCACTTTTGAAATCTATTACATTTGAATGTAATATTTACAGATAAACAATTTCATTTTAATATGCAGTATTTATATTATATGGTGTTTGATTATGAATTTAGATAAAAGTCAGGAAGTCTACACATCTAAAAGTAATGCTGAATTACAATGTAAGAAGTGGAGTTTAATATGCTCAGTAGCCCGCACCACTATTAGTAATGTATGTCCTTTCCTTCCCCATGAGTAACATTTACAGTGTAATTGCTTTATAACTGCCAGGTTTTATTCCCTCGTACCTACAGTCTACATACTGTTAAGAGCAATTTGATATTTATAGGTATACGTGAAATCTTACATTTAAAAAAAAATATTTGGAAAATCTTGGAAATTTTTGAGACATTGCTGACTGTATCATTAACTGCCAGCTTTTTCCTATCGCGATGAGCTTTTGTTCAATATTACACATTTAGGTAAAAAGGTAATTAGCTAACCATTGACTTTGTGAATACTACCTGCCGCTCCCCCACCCCCAACAGACACACACACACTTGCATGGGAGGTCACATCCATCCCTGTTCAACCTATGCCTGACAGGCTTGGTGAGCTTGGCACTTTTCATGGCCCAGGAGCAGAAAGAACAATTCGACCCCCACATCATACCTTCTGGTAAACCCCAAGAACCCCCCTTCCCCTTCTTTCCTTCTCCTAGTGTCAGGGCTTTCTTTTAGTTTGAGGTCAAAGATTAGCATCTCTGATAAAGATTAACTCCGTGTCAAAGGAAGGCGTTGATGGTATGAGTTTCTGATTTAGGACTCTTAGTGAAATGGGGTTAGTTCTTTGGGAAGTTGTGCGACCCTGCCTGGAGCAGTAAAGGAGAGTAACACTGGGCTAAAATGATATACAAGTAGCTAAGTGTAGAAAAGAAAAAAATCATACAATGAAAGGGTATAAGGGATGTAAGAACTTGTTAAGCTCAGCTCTTGTTGTTGGATATGTTTGTGCATAATCCCTGTTTGAATTTGAGGGGCCATGAAGCAGAAAGCAGCTTCAGCAGAAGCACGTGGTTTACATAGAGTTCAAACAGGTCTTTTGTACACAGGACGAGTTAATGCCTCAGTTATGTGTCTACAGCAACAGACATTAAGTAGGTTTATTCAGATTTCACAATCCTGAATGACAAGAAAGTATTCACTAGGTGAATAGCATACCAGCAAAGATGTGAACTAATATTTTTTAGTTCACATAAAAAACACTTTTTACAAATTTGGCTGTACACACCTATGGAGGTTTAGCGTTTTCTCACAGAGTGGCTTGTGGTTGTAAACCTTACTAATAAAACAACAACACCAAAGATATGAATTAGTAATTTTCCACATGGCACAGTTACACAAACATGCTCCTTGGCTGAGATGTTTAAAAAAAATGCTTGTTCATGCACTTGAATTGTTTGAATTTGATTAATTTAACTTTCCAGGCATTTTGTTTTTGCATTAAATTTAGAATGGAATATGGGAAACAAACCAAAAGTCCTTTCACCCCCTCTGAGACCCACTCCTTAGTTAAACAAACTGGAAGCAGATGAACATGTAAGACTTCTCTCTCTCTCTCTCTCTCTGTTTCTTTCCCTGGTGCATATCTGCCCTCTGAAAAATGGTGTTGAAAGTGGTATGTCATCTGCAAGAGGGGAGGAGATGAAATGTGTTGCAGTGCTAGGTTTGTTGTTGTGTCTGTGATGTCGGTATCAATGCTGCATGGCTGTTCGAGCTCATTACACTTGAAGAAACTCTGCAAATAGACTTGATGAAAAAGTCTTTTTTGGACACAAAGAGTATGGACATTGACTGATCTCTGAGGAAGGTGGTGGTGATGGCAGTGGGTGTCCTTATGGACATGGAAGTATCCCAGAGTGTAACAGGTATTCCATCTGTTCTAGAGAAAGGTGCGTGTCATTGTGATAAAATGTATTTTTATTCAACAAAGCATGTGTGAAATTTAAAAACTGACTAATTTTGGGTTTATTGTGGAAATAATGTTTTGAACTTTGAATCTTTTAGAGTAAAATGAGCAAACATGGAAGAAAATCAGATATAAATTAATTCCGACAAACAGTAAATCATTATGTGACATCAGAATGCCAAAATTCTGATGTTAATATTTTCATCTTAGAAAGCATGAACTAGCAGCTTCTCTTCTGTGACTCCATTTGCTATCTAAATAAAATGCTAACCACTGTGATCATTTGAAAAGAATGCAAGTGGCCGGAAGCCCGCTGAAGTTGCACATGATGTCAAATCCAGAAAGTGGATGCACACGGGGGATGTGCTCAGCAGATCTGCTTAAACAAGCCTTAAACAAGCTATCTATAGCTTGTTTAAGGTAAGGTCAGATTGTTTTAAAGTTCTTAGGTACCTCGTCATGGAAAGCTCCACAAAAGAGTTACCGGCAGAGTTATCTGACATCATAGACAGAGATTATTTAAAACCTCACAGCTGACACCAAACACTGACAAAGAAAAAAAAAATCATTGCGATGTGGTTAAATAGATAAATATCAAGCTAGTTTGAATAATTATAGAAACAGGTGGGTTGCAGGCATATTATCAATGACATTCTAACTAAAATAAATTTGCCAGTGCCAGTATGGAAATGCTGTTTCAATAACTGCTGCTGACTGAAGACCTATACTTTAAAAGTCTACTGACTTATTGAGTCTGCCTCGACTGCTCATGCTTGCAACTTAAAATAAAGCTGAGTGCTAAAGGTTATCAGAGTCTGAGTCAGTGTTCAAAGCAGAAACTGGAATTCTAGTTGTGACCAGTTGGTTGATCATTGCAGAGCTTATCCATTGCTGCTCCAGGGTCAAAGGTCACTTTTAGAAAGCTGTTATCCAATATGTCACTGTATGAGTGCTTCAGCGAGAGCTTTCAGCTTTTCCTGTTAGGCACAGGATTGAAAAAATATAGCAAGGTGTGATGTGTTTCAGTTGTGTTTGAATCATGTCCGAGGTCAGAGGAAAACAAGCACTAAGGAAATTGCAGCAGAAAAAGAAAAAGATTTTTTATGTCCAACTAATCTCACTAAACGTGTATCTCTAAAGACTCAGTGTGTGCATATGTTTTCTGAAAAAAAACTGGTCTGGTGATTTCACCGCCAGACCCGGCAGAGATAAGAAGAGAAAGCCGAAAAGCACGAAACTTTTTGCACACCGCGAAACTTTGAAGCCTAGCAGTGAGCAGCATCAGGTCCCATAAACCCTCTCAGCCTTAAAAAAAAAAATACATCTTCGTAAAAAGTAGTAGACCTGTTAGCTGTAGGATGCAATGGAGTCTCAGAAAAACAAATGCCTTCGTTATCCTAATCCTTGAATGTTTACAGCCAACTATATGCTGCAGTATTGCTGTATTTATTAAAAAGAGAAAGAGAAAATCACACACTTGTTTCATTTCGCGCTCCTCCTTTCCTTTCCCTCTCTATGTCTCCATCTCCCTAGAGTCTAAAACCTGCTGTTCACATCCACTTCACATTCTGATAAATTATGGGCCAACAGCCTTTGTTGCACACCTTTTTCTGCTGCTTCTTTGTCGCTCCTTTTAAACTTTTACAGAGAAAAGCTTCCATCCATATTGTGGTATTTTGAGTCCTGGTTGCAGCCAGAACTCCCCTTCTCTCCCCCAGCCTCCTCTTCCTCTAAGAAAAAAAAACGCTCATCAGCTGTTCTGGGGGCTCTAGGGGCTCTGGAGGCGGCCTCCTGTCTTTGTCTCGGCGTACAGGCTAGCTGGCTAAGCTAGTCGGCCCTTGCATCACTTTCTGGGCAACTTTAGACTAGTCCACTCCTGCCTGCTCTGCGGCTGCAAAAATCAGACCGTAACCGGCGGGGCTGAGGGGGAAGGGGGGCACACTGAGGAGACCCAGACTGAAGGAGCTGCAATGGGTATGCACAGTAGCCAGAGCGGTGCGTGAGTTCTTGGATGGAAACGATAAATAACTTTATAGCAGCAGGAGCGGTAGTAGCCTGGTGGTAGTAGTAGTAGTGATGTAGACTTGTGCGGGGAGGTCGGGGGATCCTTTGCGTTTGATTTATGTGTTTGGGTGAAGTTGTCAGGAGCAGAAGCAGAAGGAGAACGGCTCTGAGATTTTATTGCAGCACTTTAATAATAATAGCCAACAACATGGAATACACTTTTCATCCTGTGATCCACTTATATAATTATACGGTTCCGCTTTACGCAGTGTTTACGGCCCCGCGCAGCAGCAGATGGATATGTGTTTATCTGTGGACAGAGCTAGATGTGATCTCTTGCTGTGGGTCCTCAGCCCGGCAGTAAGACTGTCCACAGGACTGTCCAGGATGAGTGTTTTCTCACTCAGTGATGCTTGAGTTATTTATGGGCCGCGTGGATCAAACAGCTGTTTGCCTTATGGGGCCTGTTCTCATTTTGGTTCGCTCCTCTTTCTCTCTGTCTCTTTCTGGTTTTTTTTCTCCCCCCTATTTTTTGCTTCTCTTAAGTCCCCGTTTGGTGCTTAACAGAATTTATGACTTTGGAAAGTTGTTTTTTTGTGTGGGTTTTTTTCGGATGTGTTCATTATTTATGAAGTTTATTTAACTTTTGAAGTTTTTAAACGAGACCCTGCATTAAATTCTAATGATCATTTTTAATAGCAAGAATCAGAATTTTGATGCAATCGGGGCATGCCTTTCGATTTCGATTGCAGTTTTTAGATTTCATATATATATATATATATATAATTGTGTTAATCCGCGTGTGTGCTAACTGGAGCATTATTTCTGATGGGTAATTATGATTTACGCATACAGTTTAGCTATTTATGTATTTATTTATTGCACAAATCCTTCTAACCTAAACAAAGTCTATGTTTATATATTCTAGGCCATTGCTACAAATGAACAATTTCTAATGCATTCTATATATTCCATAACTCTATTCCCTACATAACTCATTTTGGTACGCTGACGGGATAAGCAAGATTATTATTGAATATGAAATCATGCGTGTTTTTGTTTGTTTGTTGTATTTATTTATTTTATTATTTTGAGGGAAAGAAGACAAATGTGTAATTGTGGTAACCAGACTCAATAACATCTCACACCCTCTAGCACAAAGGTCACTTTTAGAAAGGTGTTAGGCACAGCATTGCCTCGTTCTTTGTTGTTGTTGGTTTTTTGTTTTGTTTTTTGTTTTTGTTTTTGTTTGTTTGTTTCTTTTTTTTTCTTTTTTTGTGTGTGAATTATTTAGGGTTTGAAGTCAAGCGGTTGCTGCTGACCCAACCATTCGATTCGAGTACAAGAGGTGACCCGCCTCTGTATCTGATTTTACCGAGATGTGTTTGATTGCATATGTCTTCTTTCTCTTTCCTACCCTTTTCCCATCCCCTCCGCATGCCCCTTTTCCCGCAATATACGTCAGTTCTTAGGAGCTTTCTGGAAGCCGTTTTCCTCCATTAAAACTTCAGGGGAAAATAGGAAATATTCCGGTAAGTTCGGACTTTTTTTGGCATTATTTGTCATGATGCAGCCTGCATTAGAACGAAGTCTGAAGTTTGTGCATGGGTGCTGTGTACACGCTAATAGAATTATAAGATGAGAAGACAGTGACGATTTTGCAACGTGGAAGGTGCATGACGGGTAGTTTTTCCTTTATTTTTAGACAATTAGGACGCTGCATATGTTGAAAAAAACAATATCCTGTGCATATTATATTGATGTGTAGAATGTATACTATTTCTACAGGAACTGATTTGTCTATTCGTAGTAGAAGTATTCTCTCTATAATTTAATTTATATCGCTTAAGCATAAATGCAGTTACATATATATGGAAAATATTTATGAAGTTGAAAGTGATTGTAATGTTGAAATTCTACGGGTGTGCGCGCGTGTACGTGTGTGAGTGATGTAATATCGTGTAATGACACGTGCTTATGTAATATAATCCTGAGGTGTGAAAGGAAGTGTATGATGGCCGCGGGTTATAGGCAGAAGCATGGAGGGTCAGTTCATCATTTGATAGACAGTTATTAAAACTGCATGTTGTAACTGCGGTAATGGCATTAATGCTACCACTGTTCATAGCCTATTAATACAGCTATATTTACATAACACAGCAATTAAAGTGACAGCGGCTGAATTAAATAGTTCACAGTTGGAGTCCTGTAAAAATCATTCTGCACTTGTGCACGATATTTTAACATTGGCATTTCTCAAATCGTTTGAAAAACAGAATCAAAGGGAATTCCTGTGTCATCCTCAGTGGCCTACATATCTATAGTCCCAAAGGAGAAAGAAAGTGGAAAAAGGAAAGAAGATTTCCATGGCGCAGGAAGGCACCGCGTTTTAGTTGTGAAACCCAATATCCGTGACTCAATCCGAAACATGCAGAGTCGATGCGCGTCTTCCATCCGAGAAAAACAGCCGTCCTCCACAAGCACTGGCGTGCTTTTGCAAGTCAGTGCATAGGTGTAATCCGTTCTGCTTATTTCTCCACATGCACGTCTCTCCCACACATGGAAAAAAAAAAGAAAGACAAAAAAGTAGCTGATTAGCTTTTTGGTTAATGTGTAATGAGGTTGGTTAGCAGATCCTTCAGTCCACACAAAGGCTGGTTTAAAGGAAAAGTTGCAGATGGACACATTTCAGGCTCCCACCTTCCACCTACACCGAGCTCATCCTCTCATTTCTGCTGCCCACAGCGAATGCTATCTGTTTTAAAGTCGGGCTGTTTACACACACACACACTGCTGGGTGCTAGAGAACTCATAAATCTTACGTAGCCATAAACGACAGGAGTAGCGTCCTGAATAATAAAAATAGAGGGAGCGGGGGAGAGTTAGAGAAGAGAATGTGTGTGTGTGTGTGTGTGTGTGTGTGTGTGTGTGTGTGTGTGTGTGTGTGTGTGTGTGTGTGTGTGTGTGTTGGGGGTGGGGGGTGAGGGGGCGTAATGACAACATCATAGGACACCCCTCATATTTTCATTTCCATTTAGGTCTCTCTCTTTCACCCCTCTCCTTCTCTCAGGTTTTTTTTCACTGTTGGTTATTATTTTTAAGCCCACTTCAGTTTTCTTTCTTTAAGTGTTGTTGCACTGCTGCTTCATCTTCCACCTCGGTGCTTTCAAGTCAAAACGCAAGACTCTTTAAATGCTTTCTTTAAAACCCTGTTAGTGAAGCTTTAAAACCAAATTGATCACATACAATCTTTTTTTGCTATAATGTTAGCGTAATGTGCACCTTCTATGTTAGTCTTGTCCCTCTCACTCTGTCCTCCGTTACATACGTCTTAAGTGACGTTTATGCGGCGAGGCAGCAGCAGAAATATTGAAAAGAAATTCTGAAAAAATCTTGAAAACTATTTATGATGAAGGAAATTTACATTTAAATGAATGCTAATATTTTATCCATACTTTAAAAGAGTCGGATTGATGTAAACAAAAACACATAGCAAAGTCATCCTGCCGAAAGAGAAAACTACAGGAGCTTAGCCCAGGAGCTTAAGCATTTTACCCACAAACTTTGCATTTGTCGATGATATGTCCCAAGCAGTATTTTCAGATGAGGTCAGCAATTTTAATAAACCTTTTACTGTGAGCGACTGTCTTGTTTTATATGTTGACCTCACCACGTGATTTTTTTTTTTGCTTGTTGCCTCCTATAGACTTTAAAGTACACAGATGCTCTCTACAATTTCAAAAATAAATAATTAAAGCTAAATGTAATACCAGGTTAACTTTATAGACCATAAAATATAATTTATGATTAATAATGATACACATCGTTAGTGACACTGTTTGGACATTTACTAGTTAACCTGGGCCTGGTTAGAGAATGCCCACGTGGCCTATAGTAGCATATAGACAGCCTTTAAGTGGGATTTTTAAAACATCTAAAAAATACTTCTATACAAACCTCTAAAATATAGGTTTATTGAGAGTATTGCCTCAATACCCTCAAAAAAGTTCAATTTGTTAAAATATAAACTTTTAGGTTATATATAACCAATATAACAGGAAGTGAAAAGCACAAAAAAGTCAAAGACTTTATTAGAGTTAAAGTTATGGTGACACGTGGAAAAAACAATCTACATGTGTCTAGCCTGCTTGCATGGCTAGATCCAGCTCAATTAGCATAATTCTTGAGTGACGTTGACTTTTTGATGAGGGAATCATCTCGTCCAGCCGTCAATCTGGTTACTCCGTTCGTTACAGGGCCTGTGAGAGTCTCTGATACTGGGGCATATTTTCACCATCATAACGAGAATATCCAGGCTACTACCACAACCACAAAGAAGACTGTAGGCTGTAAACTGGTGCTGCTGCTAGCCGTGTGCAAGGCACACACCTATAGCCTACCTAAGACCGAAGCAAGGAGCACAGATCCGGGGCAGACGGGAATAATACCAGGGGAAAATGAGCCTCGGGGAGACTTAGAGAAGAAGAGCCGTAAGGAAATAAAAAACAAGAATAGAAAACTACCTAAAATAAGATGAAGTGACATTTTGTGGCGGACATACTCCTCTGTGGCTGTGTGAATGACTGGCCGGCCGTGTGAAGGACAGTGGCTAAAAGAGAAAGAAATTTGAGGCCATTGTTATCAGCCAGAAGCGGTGCAGGCAGCGCTGGCGCTGGGGTGGAGGGTGGGTGGGGTGGGGGGATGGGGGAGGCGGGGGTAGCAGGCATGCTCCCCGGTAAGCTCGTTCAGCTCATGCCCTAACTAGCCTGCCTGTAGCCTGCACCGAGCCCGTCTGTTAATTCTTCCCGCACACTGAGCCCCGCCGATAGTCTTGGATCCCTCCGACTCTCTCATCCGCCAGTCGTTCATGCCACAAGGTGTCCTGTTCGCGCAGCCCGGTCTGCCGCTGCTGGGGCTTCAGGAGGTGTTGTTGAAGTGGTGGTCGCGAGCAGCCGTGCTAGTCTCGAGACAGCACCGGAGGAGTAGCGGGGTTTGCGGAGAGGAGAGAGGAGAGGAGGAGGAGGAGGAGGAGGAAGAAGAAGAGGAGAGCAAAACGGACGACCAAACGAGCGGATTTGTTATTTAATTATCTGTTATTGTTGATTACCAACTGAACGCGTGCGAGGACTAATCTATGATGCGGTGCTGTTGGGTCCGTGCCGGACTGGACTGGGATCACCGGTGCTAAGGCAGGTAAGGAACATCATCGGCGGGCAAGCAGGCCAGCGCGAGCTCAAACAACAAGCCAGAAATACATAGTGTGTTTGCTCGCTGTGCAGTTTGTGGACGCGGAGTGGCTGGCTCAGTGATTTATGGCCTGTATGACTTCAATCCCGGTTCAAGAAGAGTTCACAATGCTTTAAACTGCCGTAGCTACCCGCCACAAGCAACCCCCCTTTTTCTTTCGACCGTCCATCTCTGTCCTTTTCTGTTCAGCTTTTTCCGTCCTCATCTCTTCCACTACGCTTTCCACGCCTCTTCCTCACTTAAATTATATTTAGGAGCGATGGCCGGCTGTTTTTCTGTAATGGGTGATGCACTTTTCTCGTTCAATTTTTGTCCCTCCACAGGCTCCTGTTTTATTATCATTTGGGTATATGGGATGCATTGTAATTATTCCTAAAATATTTTGATGGTGTAATTTTAATCACACATGAATATTTAGCGCCTTTAGCGATTTCAGTCTAAAATGAGACCGTGAACATAGCAACAATAGCTCAGATATGGCCAATTCTTTATTGTTTGTCGTTTAGAGTCTGTATAATTGGCCTCTCTCTCTCTCTCTCTCTCTCTCTCTCTCTCTCTCTCTCTCTCTCTCTGTTAATGGGATAAAGAATACGTGGATTGTCCAAGTTAATGCATTCTCTCTGTCTCACTGTCTACATAGCTCTTCATGGCAGACGCCATTTGTAATTTTATATCCCAGGATAAAACACAGACACTGGACACCAAGGCCGACCCGCCTCCTCTCTACCCCCCCACACCACTTCTCTTCCCTCTCCCCCTCTCTATCTCCCTCTCTGTGTTGTTTTTGTTTGGGTGGCTGTTTCTCTGTCAGTGTAAGTGGATTATTCAGGCAGGCGTCTAGCAAAGTTGGTGATTGTATTAAGCTGTAGCACTACAAGCCAGGGGCAGAGACATTACGTGTCCCGTTTAATGGCGAAACAGCGATATGATTTAATAACATATTCCTCCTACACTCACTGCCATGCCCCCCCACTCCCCCCCACCCGCCTCCATCTTTCTCCCTCTGTCGTTGGGACTATTCCTTAGAGTAAATAATTAGGATTCCAGGTTGTCTACTAGAAAGATAAATGGGTGACATGTGTGACGTGCTGAGAGCCGGAGAAAGGCTGGACTATTTGATTTTGAGAAAAAAATGGGAACACATTTTAAAATAGTTGAAAAGTGAATTATATTATTTTAGCACAATTTTACCAATCTATAAAGTTATTGGTGACTGAACTGCGATTTCTTGGTGTTACTGGTAGAAGACAGATATCAATAAAACAAATTTGATGGTTTTTGTTGTTATCACGCTGATAGCATTACTATCTCCAATTCCTTCTTCTAGTATCTTAAGTTATGTTGGCGATATATCATTCAGGCCTGTTCTTTATATATACCGTGTGCAGAACCATCAGTAGGCTATATGAAGTAGACTTCGATACACACAATCCTATTTTCGGTGCAGCTTTCATGAAGCTCGGGCCTGGTATATGTCATTCTAATGTATCGTCTTACCTTCGCACGTGCTTTACCAAATTCTTTTCTTTTTGTTTTGTTTTTTTTTAACCTTATTTTTTTCTATACATTTCTCCTAAACGAGATCCACTATAGCAGGACTAATACAAAAATATCTTCGACATTAGAGCGAAATAAAAGAGATGGCTAATAATAGTGAGCCGTTGTTGCAATATGGAGCCGGGAGCCAGGCTAAAATACTGGTAGGGTTAACTTGGAAAGCCCCAGTAGGCCTAGTTTTAGATGTAGCTAGTGCTAGCGCTGCTCAGCTTGTGTGTAATGGAAGAGCTGCTTCATCTCCTCTTTTCTGCGTCAGACAGTTTATCTCCACAGAAGCAACGAATGCCAGGTGTTCTCTCGTGTCTGTCAAGCCGGCCTTTTACGGCCACAGGCCCACACCAGCGGTGAGCGCAAGATACAGTGTGTGGAGGCTAACCCTGCTGTTTTTCCTTTCCTTTTTTCTCTCTTTCTCTCTTTTTAACTAAAGGCGCCGTGATTGAGCATTCTGACAGCTTAACCCTCATGGGTTGTTGACTAGTGAAATTTCTGCCGGGAGCCTCCTTTCTTTCTTGTCTTGTCTTTTTTTTTTTTTTTTGCAAAAAACAATATAAATCGTATATTGTTGAGCGCAATTACATTTTATAATATGTTTCCATTTACTGTTTACCTCACGATAAATCAATCAATAAATCAGTAAATACATAAAACATTACTTGTATACTGAGATCCGAGTTCTAACCTATACTTCACCGTTTAAATACTTTTCGTCATCAGTAATATTTGTTACTTTTTTCTCCGTTTAAGATAGATAGATAGATAGATAGATAGATAGATAGATAGATAGATAGATAGATAGATAGATAGATAGATAGATAGATAGATAGATAGATAGATAGATAGATTCTTTTTTATGGGGGAAAAAACCCTGGTGAAACAAAAATCCTTTCCGCTTGGATTCCTGTGAGTGAAGACAAGTGAGGTAACAGCAGAGAGAACACAGTAAATCACAGGCGGAAAGTAGAGGTTGACAGAAATAGACTACCTACATCAGTCACAAAGGAAAATAGATATGGGCCGTGTCCACTGCCGCCATTACACATAAAATGTCGTTTTCAGCCCGAATAACAGCACACTTTTGATGGTAATTCTTTATTAGGAAAACTTCAAAAATAACGAATATCTCTGGAATGTATGGAAGAAGAACCAACATATCTTAAAATTTTATGATGATGGATTTTAATTTATTCTGTTTAAAAACAAATCTAAGTAAATTGCGTAATTTTCGTTGCATAAAAACAGAAAATAATTGGTTAAAATCATAAAAAAAAATAAAAGCCATTAATCTACAACTACAGATTAATGGCTGTTATTGATAATAACAAACTATAGCAGTAATAAAAACTGCAGTTAATTACAATTTAAACAGAAATTGCAACATTAAATAACTGACCCACCCAGCAGTGTGTGTGTGTGTGTGTGTGTGTGTGTGTGTGTGTGTGTGTGTGTGTGTGTGTGTGTGTGTGTGTGTGTGTGTGCATTTGTACAAGAAAGGCTGTGCAATGAGATCAGAAGAGCGTCTGCAGGCTGTGCACTGGCCTCCAAAGGGAGGGGGATGGGGGCTGTGGAAAGAAAAGCAGTGGTTTCTATTCACGTCATGGTGCCTTTCATTCAAGGAAGATGGATTTATCTTTCTCATTTCTTTCTTTCTGTCTCTTCCTAACCTTTTAGGTCAGGTTGCAGGGGACCGTTGGAGAGACACCGTCACGTGACCCCCGGTACCAAATGGTCTTCCGGCAGTGGCTCTCAATAAGGACCGGAGCACAAGAAGACGCCGCCACTTCTCACAGAGATGCAGAAAACAACATACTACGACAACTCCTCAACACTTTTTGGTGGCTACTCATCCTACCCAGTGCAGGGGGCAGCAGTGGGAGCAGGAGCAGCCGCCAATGGCTTCGGGGGCTATGATGCCCCGGTCCCAGCGTCTCACCACCAGCCGATCTTCCAGTCGGCTACCCATCTGGATGTGGATTCATACCAGCGCTCTGCCTGCTCTTTACAGTCACTGGGCAGTAATGGTGGCCACCAGCAGCAGCAGCTAGCTAAGACCAAGGAGTTGAATGGCAGCTGCATGCGGCCCAGTCTGCCACCTGAGCACCACCCTGGCTCCCAAGTGTCCCCTCCACTTCCCCCCAACCCCAGCAACGGTAATACTGGGGCTCAGCAGCCAGGTGGCAGTACTGGGTCCTCCTCACTCTCTAAATCAGGCACCAATAAGTCATCTACTTCTTCCTCCTCTACATCATCTTCCACATCGTCTTCATCCTCTTCACTGCCGCCCAACCCAACCCTGGCCAAGCAGATTTTTCCCTGGATGAAAGAGTGTCGTCAGACGACTAAGCAGAAAAACTGTTCACCCAGCAACAACTCTGGCAATGGTGTGTTCCAATACACCTGTCTCTGTCGGTCTTTCTGTCTTTGCTTTGATTTCCCCCATGGAGCACCACAGTTACAGCACAGCCTACCTCTTTGTATCTCTCATTATTGCTTTCCCTGGCTCCCCCAGTCCTTCCTTTCCTCTTTCATTTTCCTTCCTCATTAGCATCTTTGTTCCTATTATCCCACATCCCTCTTTCCTCACCTCTCTTATCAACATCCTCTTTCCAGCATCAGATCCCCAGAGAATTTACAAGGTTTCTTAGGCTTTTATGGCAAGCCAGGTTCCCACAGGCACTAGCTGAGACAGGGACTAGTAGCCGCCTGTTCTGTTCTCTCTCTGTATCTGGTGACTGAGTTTATTGTAGTTCTAGTTAATTTTGGTAGTTAATAGTGTAGCTGGTAAGTGGAGTTTACTAAAGCCATTGATCTCTGAGTATTTTCAGTGACCAGTTCACTAACAGAATGGTTACGTAAGCTCCAGCTTTAGTTTGTTTCCATTAGTAAAAGACGCTAAAGGTCTAATGTAAAACTGTCTGGCTTGAAGCAGGAAGAAACAGCTGGCGTGGTTCTGTTAAGAGCAACTATACCTTTAAAAGTCAGGAAAGAAAAAAGGTTGTATTTTGCTTTGTTTTGAATAGCAGACAGGTAAAAACAACATTGTGCAGTTTTACAGTCATATCCTGGAACTACTTCTTGATGAACAACAGTTGGAATTTGCATTGATCTTCTGGAACCTGTCAGGGATGGAGTTGTTAGGCTAGTCAAATTTCAATGACAAAATGTGAAGCAGTCATGAAAAAGCAATCTGTTTGTTCAGGTACATCGGCATAAATGGTAAACATTATGTTTTGAGACTTTGAAACTATATGTAATTATATGAAATATATTTAATTCCTGCAATACATCTTTACACTCTTTCAACAGAGAGAATGTATCACCTTGGCAGCCAAGACATTTTTTAGACCAAATGAATTATTTTTATTATCTAACTCTACAAAATTTGTACATAAATACAGAGAAAGTATTTTCTAATAACTAGATTAAATATTTGACAGTTTCGAAATTGATAGATAGAATTACAAGAATAACAAAAGATATATTTATTCATATTTGACTGAACTGGAAAATTTTGCAGACATTCAGAGATGACAAATACCTGGTTTTACTGGGAATTAGTGTCAAATCTTAGGAAAAGAATAATAGTTAAGCGAGTTACATAAACCTTGTTGGCAGGCTATCTTGAGATGACTTTCTTATCAAGTAAGACTAAAAACTTCTCTAAAGACATCACTAAGGTAAAAATATAGTCTATCAACATGCTGCCACAAACCTGCAACCAGTAGCTTATACCTCTCTTCATTCTTCCACCTCCTCCTCCCTATCCTGCACTTCTTTCTCCTTTCATCACTCCATGAAAATGATTTGCTTTCCGATTGCTCGCCTTTCTTCCTTCTCCTCATTTTTGTTGCTCATTGAAAAGCCACTTTAAGTAGAAAGATATTAACAGGAAGAATTTAAATGTCATGTATGATAACAGATAAATAGATTTTCAAGGAGAGGGTGAGAGAATGATGAACAGACATTTGAAATGGAAGATATTAGCATCTGGATGATAAATTTGAATACCATCAGCATGTCTGATAACGGGAAAAGAACACAGTCATTGAGGCAGACAGATATGTTATTTCATTTGGTGGTTATCATTCAGAAAAAATGAATATGAGTGTGATAATCATATTCAAAAACATTTCAGCTGACCAGACAAAAAACTGAAAAGAGATTAGACTGTTTATCAATGAAAATTTCAAACAATCATTTAGAGAGTGTCACTGCTCCAGACTAGTTACTGCTCTCATCTTTCCATCTCTGTTTATAGAAATACGATAACAAAGAAAACATAATGAATGACTGGATCTAGGTTTCCTTAAACTGTACTGTATCAGCTGTTACTAATGAGAATGCACCGCTAGCACGCACATACAAACATTTATATCAGAGGCTGCTGTGCCACACGTGCACACAAGGATGAGAGAGGTTATGTTGTTTTGAGCAACTGTATAACATAATCAAAAACTCAAGATAGGAAAAAAAAGAGGTTGAAGCTATCGGATTATCCCGTGTTACTGTTTTAGTTTAACTATCAGGTACTACAGTTTTAAAAGCACAGGAGTTCATTGCCATATGGAAAATTCTGAGCTAAAGAAAATAACTTTAGACTCAAGCTATTTCACTGTCATCACTAGTTGTCTCAGAACTTCACTGGATCCACAAATGTACTTCCTGGGAGAGAAAATGATAGGAAACAGGTCTTTATCAAATATGCATGTGTTCAATCCCTTTTCTCTAAACAACTTTCTGTTTCTATTAGAATTCACTGTTATAATGACATAAATGAGATGAGAAGTTTGACTTTTCCTGGCAAGCAAATTGAAGTGAGTGCAGGTCAACCTCAGTTCCTGCTCATGAGTCCTTGTGCTGCAGCTGGTGTTGCTGTGGGGGGTTTGTCTTTCCAGCCAAAATGCAATTTAGCTTCTCTCGGCCAGCACTGGGGCCTCCACAGCTTAATAACTGCCACTGTTATGAAGTGTTGACAACTAATATCAAGGGATTCAGTCGGCCTGCTAGACACCCCCTCTGCTTTATTAAGAACCTGAATGCTTTTAATTTCCTTCAGCATGCAGCCTGATTATGTTATATTCTCTCTACCTTTCTCGATCTCTCAGCTTTTACCTTCTTAAGATGCCAACATTCTTTTTTAAATATCCTTGGTTTCTTGCCTTTCTTCCACTGTCAACCAGGTATTTTTCTGTGGGTGGCTATGCCCTCATGTTTTCTCACATTCACTTTTTGTTCTCTTGTCAGCATCAGGAGGAGCTGAGAGTGGCAGCAGCGGGGAGAAGAGTCCAACTGGTGGCTCGTCAGCATCATCTAAGAGGGCTCGAACAGCATATACCAGTGCCCAGCTTGTTGAGCTGGAGAAGGAGTTCCATTTCAACCGGTACCTGTGCCGGCCACGACGCGTGGAAATGGCCAACCTGCTCAACCTGTCAGAACGCCAGATCAAGATTTGGTTCCAGAACCGACGCATGAAGTACAAGAAGGACCAGAAGAACAAGGGCCTGAGTTCCAGCTCTGGAGGGCCCTCACCAACAGGCTCTCCTCCTCTGCCCTTGCAGTCTTCTGCCAGCTTTCTCAATTCAATGCACCCAATGGGAGGGGGAGGTGGAGGAGGCAGCACAGGCTATGACGCGCCATCTCCACCATCCTTTGGCAAGCCCCACCAGGGAGTGTCTTACTCCATGTCCACTGCCTATTCAAATGTCCCCATGAAGGGCTGCCCCCCCCAGCAGAAGTATGGCACCCCAGAACAAGACTATGGTGATCCCCATCCCCACCACAGCCTAGTGCAGGCTAATAGTGCTGGCTATGGGACACCCACCAATATACAGGCCAGTCCAGTCTATGTGGGGGGTGCTAATTATGTGGAACCCATGCCTGGCTCAGGGCCTTCCATGTATGGGCTTAACCACCTCGGCCCCACCCCACCCCACCACCAAACCATGGACTACAATGGCGCAGGGCCCATGTCAGCTGCCAACCAGCACCATGTGGGTGGAGGGGGTCCCCCGGGTCCCTGTGACCCACCTACACACCCGACATACACCGAACTGTCGGCACACCACACCTCGACTCAGGGCAGAATCCAGGAAGCACCCAAGCTCACTCACCTGTAGCAGGTTTGGAACAAAATGACAACATACAAAAAAGTGAAGACCACATCGAACAAATCATGGCTCACAAACAGACTTACACATAGGGAGACTAGTGCTGCAGCAGGATAGCATGAGAGGCAAAAGAAGACTCACAGGGGCCGTCCAGTGGTTTGTCCTGAGCTCTGAAGTCACAAAGGGGAACAGCCAGTGTTGGGTAGTGTTCTGCCACCGCCCTGTTTTCACTGCCTTCATAAAGAGCTCCACTAAATCTGATTAAGACGAGACCTTTCAGTGCTACCTTGAAACGGCAGGTAATTTAATTTTAAAAAGACAGCAGTATCGAGTATCACAGATGAACCCAAACCTTTCATATTGTCAAATAACTTGATGAAAGGCATATCTGCATATCCAATGCTGGAAACAACAGCAGTGTATTATAATGCAAACTCTTTTTTAAAATAGATTTTTCAAACTTATTAAACTAACTAGTATAATGTCTATTGCTCTAACTTTATGTAACACAAACTTTAAGTAACACAAATTTTAAACCATATTGAATCATATTTGAATTTGGATTAAACATTTAACTTTTACTTTAGTGGTATAGTCATTTTAAAAACGAACCCATCTACACAGTATTCCACAGCCCCAGGGAAATGAGGTGTATTGTAGGGAGAGGTCAGGTGTACATTCAGTCCCCATGCTGCTCTTTGCTGCTGCAGACAATGCATATCAAGGAGCTTGTCTTATGGCAGAGATACATTGGCAGCTGTTTAGTATGACAGGATCCACGTTGAGCACCGTTGTATAGTCATTTGTCAGATTGAGACTGAAATGAAAACCACCATGTTCGCACAGAAAAAATCAGGAAGATTTGTTCAAAACAGCATAAAAAAACCCTAAAAATTTTGAATTTAAGACACTTAGCAATAAGTACAACATTATTAAAACTAATTTATTTTATAATTTAATATAATGCTTTCCCAGACTATACAGGTCTCCTGATACTGTAAAAAACTGAGAACTTAGTTATGTTTCTATTTTTAGCCTTTCAAGTAGAAAGTGGGGTGAGGAGTGATTGTGTGTGTATGTTGGGCACGTGAGCACAGCAAATTCTGGAGTAGTTTAGCTACTGTGTATTAAAAGGACTCTTTTGGAGGTAGCATTTAGTCTAAAATTGTACTTTGATACTTAATAGGACACATATATGAACGCAGCTCTCCCCCTTCTAAATGAAATGGTTGAAATTTTAATGCCCAGTTAACAAGGTGGTTAGATTTATGGTGCTGAGTTCTCTTCCCCTCCAGACAACACATGTTGTTGTCAGCCAGGTTGAGCTATGTGGAGGACTCTGTCTCTATACCAGCTTGCGAGAGAGAGGAAAGAAGGAGACAGAGTGAAATGGAGAGCAGAAATATATAGCTGGAGCTGGCAGAACACATCTTCTCCTGCAAAAACCACTCGACGGTCACTGTCCCTTTCTGGCTCCTGCTGTATAACCATCTCAGACCCAGTCTTTACTAACCCACTGTCTCTTGTCTATGGCAGCAGCACATGGGTTCAGAAGGAGGCAAAACCTCCCACAGTTCCCCAGACTACCCCCCCACCACCACCACCACCACCACCTCCACCCCCTTTCCCAACCACATACACACACATCCATCACACGGACAGCCTACCTATCGCTCGAACAGGGTTTAAGAAGCTATGAGCTCAATTGCTAAAGTACTCATCGACACACATCTGTGCTAAGCTACTTTAGCTAATCACACCTTCATGCACACACAGCAGTGCTAAGCTAGCAATGTTTCATCAACACACCTCCATAGCCAGGGTACGCCAGCTGTTGACACCTTCAAACAAACACACGAGAGGACATGGAAGAAACATTTAAAATTCCTTATTTTAGCACATTATTGACACAGGGTAAATGCGAAAGAGCAGAGAATATTATTTATTTATGTTGAGGTATATCATTGCTGTCTCTCTCTTTCTCGCTCTCTCTTTCTCTCTCTTTATCACTTTGGAAGAGTTAACTTACAATAGAGGACACCGATGCATAAAAGTCCACACTTTCTCCTGTGTTGTTTTGTTCTCACATATCTTGACTTTTAACATGGATACAGGGTATATATTTGAACAAGAAATGCATGTCCCAGAAGTCAGAGCTGCTGTGTAAAACACATTTTTAAAACTACTGGGTTTATTTGCTTGAACCATCAGTGAGTGCATACAGTGCACACAGAGCCTATGCAGTGTGGAACAAACACAAGCAGTGTGCGCTCGACTCTCTCTAAACTTGCTGATGTTTAGGAAGTGAATCCCTGGTTTTGTTTTTAAAAGTGCATGATTTACACAAAAGCTTGCCACATCTGGGCATCATTGTTGCACTTAGAGTTTACATTTTGATGGTTAAAGGTAAAAAAAATAATAATAATAATAATAATAATGAAATCTTATTTTGAAGACGAAAGGCCCTCCAATCAAAGCGTCTTTTGCCAATGTGTGTTCAAGTGAACATTCATATAAAATATTTATTTGTTATAGCCAGTTTAAAAAAAGACTTTCTGTTTTGTATGACTATTATTTATCCTTCATGTATTTATATCGAGAAAAAATACTGTACTTTTTTAGTATTTACCTGTTATGAAAGAAAAAAAAACATTGTTTCTTCTTGTCCATTGTACTAAAGTTACATTTTTTAGTTCTTGTATTTTAGAAGAAAATTAGTAGTTTTTATGTTCCTATACTGACCCTTGTACATAAATGTCCTGGCTTGTACAGGGGAAAAGGCAAGTGTGGGGATTGTTGAACCACCCATGCATAGTGGGAAAATATAGACTAACTATTAGATGGAAAAAAGAACAAGTCTTTTTGGAGAAAAAACAAGTTCTTCTTTTGTCCTTTGTAGATCCTTTTTCTTTCACTGTTGAGAGAGTTGAATGTTGAACAATTCTTTAATAAAATGTTATGTTATTCAGAGCTAGCCTCAGTGTTTTAAGAATCACAGGAGTGTAAAGCTTGATTCATGCTGTTTTGGTAAAAAAAAAAAAAAAAGACTGAAAAGTCAGCATCAGATAATGTTAAAACAAGCAGAATACTACTATCACAGTGAAGGTATCAGCAGAGAATCCTGCTCCTCTTATTTAGATTATTATGGTCAAACGAATACTGGATTTCCTTGGGTTAATATGAAATATCAAATTTACAAATAGGAGATTTGTTGCTAAGATAAAGTTACAATTGCTATGATTATATAAATATGTAGAATGTTGATTATCACAACATATTCAGTATGATTGAAAATTCTTCAACCTACTAAAACCTTTAAAGCCACCACACAAATAAGCAGTTAAAACACAAATCTTATAGATACTGACATGTGTGAAAGACATGCTTGTTATTTTACTTAGATAACGCAAACACAGTGCCTCAAAAATGTCAACACAAAAGAGGAATGGATTTTACTGGCTTTTTTCTAGATGTGCAGTATTTAGGAAAGGTGTCAAATAAAAGTAAAATTCCAAGTAAATTTGCTTTCTAATTCACTTCATACAATCGTTGTTTTAGGTGCTTTTATAAAAGATGAACTCAGAAATGTATTTATGATTAGCCTAGACTTTTTAGTTGGTTAAAGGCACTTTGTGTTGTATGTGTTAAGAGACAGTGATATGAGTGTTTGTATCATTCCATACAACAAACAGTTTTTACTAAGATTGGAGCAACAGTCCTGACCTTTTAATAGCTAAATCTTCACACAGTCTAAACAGCACTTTTGTTGCATTAGTTATAATCTCAATCAGTAAGAATTAGAAGTTAAACATTCACCATCCCATCAGTCTTTCACTGCATTCTGTAAGATTCCGTACTAAAAAGTACCAATTTTTTAAGTGAAATAAATATGCATAAAAATACTTTTAAAGATGAAAGTAAAAACTTGAACTCAGAAACTCATCATAGGACTTGGTACTTGTTTCAAAAGCCTCTAGAGTGCATAATAGTGTCAAAAGGTTAAATCAGATTGAAAATTTGACTGTCAAATTTGTTAGATAGTTAGTATAGTATAGAATATATATAATGTAGATATAATATAGAAACAAATGCTGCTCATAAACCACAGATTAGGTGTGGCCGTGACTTAGTTCAAACAGCTTGTCTCTGATTCAGAGATGACCTGACTCTGGTGCCAGTAGTGAATACTGGGTCGGTGTCTGAGGATAAAGCATCACAGTCAGAAAACTTACAGAATTGTCCAAAAAAGAAAAGACCTTTAGCTTTCAGAAAGCCTTCTCGCTGCTTCGCTTTGCTGTACAAACTAGACAGAAGAAGGGCTTTATTATCTGATACCACTGTAAGAATAGGAAATGTATAAATCACCACCTATTACTCTGCTATTTAGTTGCTGTCTGGTATTAATTGCTGGGATAGCAGCAGCAGCCATCCTTTTTGCTAATATCAGGTGGTCTTAAGGTTGGGATTAATATTAAAGTACAAAACCTTTTCCTACAAAACCTGAAAAATAAGCACCAGATACTGTACTAATGTGTTTTGAGTTTTTGTTTTCTTCTGGCAGCTGTTTTTTTCTGCGGGCTCAAAAAGTTGAATAAAAGAATGAGCACCAGTCCCTTCAGTCAGATGCATTTTGGTGTCATGATCAGTTAGCTGTCCTCTGGCAGTTTGGCTTTTGACACGTGTTCAGCAGTGATTATTGTCACTAGTGGTGAAGAAAACATTCAGTTTTGGTGTGCTGAATCCAGTCATTACTGCAATGATGAAGATCACTTTATAGCAGGAAGGCATTCAGTAGCCAGGCCAAACAATTTGATTTATTTTGCTTCACTGCAGCTCTCCTTAGGTATCAGTGTTTATCCAAATTAAGTAACAATTTGGCTTGACGCAGTACCAATACTAAGAATTTTCCATTCCTTTTATGTATGTATGCATATTCTTATTTATTTAGTGTTGTTCTTACCACTTTTCCAAGGTGACGAAGAAATCTTCTGATGCTAATTTAATGCCCCCAGCTTTAAATCAAAAGACAGATAAGCGCTCTGACACCTCAGGATGTTAATCAGTCAACAGAAAATACTGGCTAGTGTGCAAAAATACTGAAATCCAGTGAGTGAAAACTCCAAACAACAGCTATAGGAACAATGAAGCTGACTAGGAGGTTGCTGGAGTTGTGCAAGCTATGTATACCCATAGAGCAATTTCAATATTTTCAACAAATCCTCTCTTAGGCATTTGTGGCTAATGCTTTCCTCTTTGAAGATTTCTCATCTTGCATGCAGCTCAGCTATGTGTCAGCTGTGTGTTTATGACTAAAAAAGCCCCGAGGACTGCGCCTCGGCTCTGTCACGTGATCGACCCCCACCCCTCTTCTCTCTCTCTCTCTCTCTCTCTCTCTCTCTCTCTCTTTCCCTCTCGCACCCGCGTGCTTGGAGGGCTGAGAGCCTCATAAAACTTGAGACATAAATCAGACTCCCATAAATAATGGCCGCACTTCCCTTTACATCTCCGTTGGACTAACAGACAATAAAAACACCTATAAGCAGAGATTGGATCTAATTTATTGCCTCATAAAAACAGACGGAGAGCTCGGATCCGCTTTAGCAGCGCAGGCACTACTGAAAATCGTCCAGCTATTAGTGTAGCACACTCACAGCTACGTAAACACGCACATTTCTCCACTTAGAATCTTTTGATTTTAATGTGTTTTGTTAGACAGAAGATGTGACAAAGCCGTCATCGTGTTATCATCCAGTATTGAACTATTTGACTACAGAAATGCTATTCTGCACATAGTATTTGTACGGTCATGATTGAATTAGAAGTGTGTTTACTGTAGTATTGGTAGTATTAAAAGAAGGAAAAGTACAACAACCTGGTCATTAGTGAACTATGAAAAATTTGAAGTTACCGAGTCTTTTCTCACGTTACATGTTTAACCAGAAATTGGGCTTTAGGCCAATCAAAATCTCAAATAATATTAATGAAAAACTGTATTTGAGATAAACAAATAAAATGTTAATATTGTCAGTGGATTAACTAAAAATGTATTTTCGTAATAATCAATTGATAATAATAATCAAATAACCGATTGCCAAAAGCGTTATTAAAATAAAATAAAATAAAATAAAATAGAAATTACACGTTCCCAGCTTCAGTCGACCAATCCACGCTCTTCAGGTCTTTACTGGCATGTGGAAAAACGTTTTCTGCTCGCCACAAAATCTTCATATAAACTCCCAATTCTTTATCAAAATTTTAAAAATATGCATTCATATATATTATTAAAAAATAATTAAATTAAAAAAGAGAGAGAATGAACGCTGCTCGCTCAGCAACTTGTGTCTGCCTTGTGGGCTTGTGTTTTCCGTGCCCATACAGCCTCGGCCTACTCACTGCCTGCGCTCAATGGCGTTTCCTCCCACACACATTTCTGCCTTTTTGCTGCCTTTTTCTCTTTCTTAGAGCCTGGGGGTGAGGCAAAGCGACTTGGAAAGAAACGGGGCGGGGGGGAGCTAAGAACTTTTCAGTCTTTTATTTCAGTCATATCCATAATACGTCGAATCGAGCCCCGAAAGGAAGAGAAAGAGTGAGGGTGGATTTTTCCTTGTTATTTAGGGAGAGAGAGAGAGGCTGCTGTCAGACTCTTTGCAGCGAGAGAAAGATTGATCACCGCACTTCGTTTTCTTCCACTCGGGGCTATTCGGGCCCTCCCCAAAATATTCCCAGCTAAACAACTGACCGCTTCTTGATCTCTCGCAAAATCTACATGTGCGTCCTGTTGAGTCTAAAGGCCACTCTCACTTACAGTTACCATTTATACTGCTGCTGTATTCTTTTTATCATAAGAAGTAGAGTAGCGTTCTCTCCTTTTTCCCCAGCTGGGTGAAGCGACCTCGCTGTGAACTCTCCCTCTCCCTCTGCGTAAACACGGCGAACATTTTAACACCGTGGAGAGAGGGTGGGAGAGGAACCGTGGTATCTTGCAAGAAGAATTTTGGAGCCTCTTTGAAAAGGTTATTTTAGGGTAAGATTATATTTAGACCTTGTTTAAAGTTTCCTCCCCTCTCATACACACCACTACGTAAATGTGATATCTATTAGATATAAAAATCGCACACTTACACATCAGTAGGCTCCCCTCACTGTCTGTCCTCAAATCTAAGCTATGCTCTTGTAAACTGTTCCCTCTGCACTACCGCTGAGCACAAATCTTCATCGTCCACTCTTCGTGCGCTTCTGCGCCATCTAAAAAACTCTCAGAATGTTCTAAGCGTGACATTTCCACCCTCTGTCACACCTTCTAAGATTAATGAGCAGCGCGTTGTAAACAGGAGACATATTGTAGACGGTGCTGGCCGGCTCCATACACCTAACCGTCACCACATCACCCAGAAGACGGGGACAACATGCTCAAGAAGAGGATGCTCTATTGTTTGTGCAGCATCACCGGGCCTGGATGCGCCGGCCAGTCGCCCACACTGCGCACATGGCGAATGGCCACCGTATCGGGGCTTTTTTTCACGCCCTGTTAAAATACAACAATGGCAGCTACCCTGCGAAGTAGTATCCTGACACGACATTTGATGGAAAAAAAATAATAATGCTGCTTCCCACAGCCATCACAGCCGCCTGGCCTGGGTCCAGGATTGGCTGATTCGGATCACGTGGCCAGGAACTGGCTGCAATTTCGCCCCATAGTTCTTCAGTTTAGACTACCCAGGTCCCCACACGCTAGTAATATCACCAATATACACAATTATTATATAGCCACGGTGTTTACGCCATTGCGGTCGGGAACCTACATGTTCGTGCGTTTTTTTTCAGTTGATTTTTTTGTGAAGCCATAGTGTGTTGCGTGCGTGTGCAAGGGTGCGTGCGTGTATGTGTTTTTGTTGTTGTTTCTTCTGTTTTTATTTTTGGGGAAGGGGCTGTTCGGAGGGTATCGCCGTTTCGGGGTAAAAGCCCGTT